GCTCGCCCTGCAGGCGCGCCTTCCGCCGAGCGCAGCGGGCGGGGCGGGGCCGCAGCTCGCGCGCCTGAGTCCGGGCCGCCCCGAGCGCCATCAGGACTTGTGGAAGGTGCCCACCGAGGAGGAAGCGAGACTGTCGCGGCTCTGCCCCAAGTTGATCTTCCGGCCTCCCCCGCGGAGACCCGAGCTGCAGCAGCCTTCACGCGCGCCGCGTCGCCCAGGAGAACGGGACTGCCGACCTCCCGCCTCGCCCCGGCTTCAAAGCCGCCCAAGGCCCAGCGCCAAGCGTTTCTCGGGACTTCTAGACAAACGCACCCAGATTTCAAATCAACCACTCAGAAGCTGGGCAGCCTCAGGAAAGCTAATCTCCCTGGGCCACAATTAACTCATCTATAAATTAAGAATAATGAAACCTACTTCCTGAGATGATTGTATTAACTGAGATCATGAACTCCAAGTGATTTGCACAGCCCTCTGATGTGTAGACTGGGCTCTCGTGATTATTATGTGTATGGTTACTGATCTAGCAAATGATAATAATGGCTGCCTTTTCAACTGAGAACAACTTTAGTTAAAATCCTCCTTGGGTGGTGTCCAGCAAGGTCAGCCCAGGGCAGCTCCTGGCTTCTGCACCCCCAGAAGCAGCTTTGCCTTGGTTTGTTCTGATTTAGAACTGAATCTGCTCTTCTGTATATTTCCCACCTGGGTTTCTGTGATCACTTCTTAATTAACAAGTACTTATTTTATTGATATCAAAGGCAATAAACAGTTTGAGGCCCCTTGCCGTGTACTGCCTCTTCCTGATTCCTTCCTGAACTTGTCTCAAACACACTCTCACACTCCTTAAGAACTTTCCTTTCTCAGGGCAGGCCAAATAGCTGAGCGGATTAAAGTGCCTGCGAGCAGGTGCAGGGAGACTGGGCGTATTGCCGTGCGCCTGTAATCCCAGCTCTTGGGAGGCTGTAAATAAGCGAATCACTACAAGTCTGATCTAGTAGTGAGACCCTGAACATCCTGAAGACCCTTCTCTAAAATACAAAACAACAACAACAACAAAAAAAAAACCTTCCTTTCTGTTCTGCACACAAACCAACAGTCCACTGACTCTGCATCAGAGGGACCTAGACTGGAGTCCCAACCCATGCACTTCTCGACTGTAAACTGGAGAATGATGTCTTATGACATTGGGAAAGAAACCGTCTAGTCGATACACGAAGTCCCTAGGTATGTGGTAGAGGCACTTGATGATTAATTTATTTAACAAGTACTTACAGAGCATCTGTTTAGAGTTGTAGGTACCGGAAGGCTGAAGGAAGCCATCATATGTGAGGTAGAGTTCTTCTCCTCAAGGAAAACTTAGCTGTAGTGGGTGGGACAGGCACACACATAAACATATTTGCACAGAAGAGATGTGGCTGAGTATGGAATTAGTAAGCCACAAGATCCAAATGGAGGCCGTGGTATTATAGTGGGGAGTGCTTTAATCCATTATTGCAAATGTTGTTTTCCTCTAAAAATTACGTACATAATTACTCAAAGCCACTGCTTAAAATTAATGAGTAACTGTATGAGGCAAGCAGAGCCATTGATGTAGGATTCAGTCCCTTAATAAGGCAACTCGAAATGTGCCCTTTACTAGCATAACTTATCTACAGTGTCTTGGGGAAAATGCCATAACTTAGAAATTAGTTGCTTGCATATCTTGCAGTCCAAGTCTAAGAGGGAAACTTTGCACATTGTCACACTAATGGCTTCTAATGACCGCACGCTAACCAAGGTGCCTTTCTGTGGTATCCTCCCACACTGACCTTGTGTCTCGCTTTGGCCCCTGCGACATGAACAAATGAAGTATTTGATGAGCTAACCATGTGCGCTTTGCTCCTAGCTTTTTTGGAATGCTGCCCTAAGCTTGCAGTGAAGAAACCTGACCCAACCTCCTTCAAGATGAAAGCCCCCTAGGAGAGGGAGGCTTGCCCTCCCAGTCCTGCCACCTGCCAGCTAAATTCAGTCACATGAATGACTGGAGCAAGCCCCAGGCTATGACAGCCAAAAATAACCCAGTCAACCCCGGAATCCAGAGTCTCTAATTGTTGGTGTGGTTTGTGGTATAATAGATAATTAATGCGCACATCGCTCATAGGCATTTTTACAATGCCTTGGTGAAATTCACCCTGGAATCAGTACTCTTGCTAATGTTCTCTGCCATGAAGCTTTCAGTTGAAGTCACTATGGTTAACTTAGCAGACCGTCACATTTTATGTAAATACCCTGTTTCAGAGTTCTGCATTGAAATAGTTACTGAGCCTAGTACTACAGTTTCAAATCCTTTTGCAGTCAACATGAAATTGGCCCTGCTACTGCTTGGAATGGCCATGAGAGGCAGGCCACAGGAGATTGGGTGTGTCTCTCTTTCTCCCTTAGTGTAATCTCCTTAATGACAATTAAGGTTATTGATAAGGTTTCCTGACAGGTCACAAAATATCAAAGAAGGAAGAAAGATCACTTATTCTATCACTTCATTTTACAGATAAGGAAACTGTAGGTAAGAGAGATGGTCAGAGTCTGACATTTCCAGAGTGTTATAGCCTGCTCAGAGCACAACTGGGATAACCAATTCAACGTTTTCACTCTGGTGAACTGTTCTGTCTTTCCTTTTTGATATTGTTGCTATTTAAAATATTTTTTCCAGTCTCAAAGTATGTCTACAACTTTCCTTTGTATTTAGCATGAGATCCCAACTCTGGATATGGCCTCACAACTCCGTGAGGTCTGGTGCAGCTCGGCCCTGCTGAGGCATTGTTCAGCCCTGCCCCTCAGTCCACTCTGCCCTACTGTCCTTCTGGCCCCCAAACCAGCAAGCTCTTTTCTACTTCACACCCTGTGCTCATGCTGTTCCCTGTCCTGGTCTGCTCTTTCCCAAACTCTTCACCTTGCTAAATCCTGTTTATCAGAACCCACTACAGTTGCAAGCAATAAAAACCAATTCAGGGAGTAATGTATACCAAAATTGAGTTTAGTGGACAGGTAGGTAGCTCATTATTTGTTTAGCCAAGTTTCAGGAAGGTCAAGAACCAAGCCAGCTCAAGAACACAAGAAAGACAGACACCCTGTAGGGAGGCTTAGCGACTGAAACAACCCACATAGTTTGCTTCTGTCATTGCATGACACTCCCAGACTCCAAGCCCTAGAAGGAAATTGGCCTTACTCAACTTGGTCGCATGCTCTCCCTGAGCCAAAGAACACTTTGAATCAAAGTCCACAAAGGTGATCAACAGGATGCTGTTACCAGAAGAAAGCAAAGTTAGAGCAAGATGACAAAAACAATGGAGAGCAGCTCCACAGTCTCTCAGCTCTTAATTTAAATGTCATCTTCTCAGGGAAACTTTTTGCACTGCTCCATCTATGACACTCTTTCATGACACTCCTAATTTGTTCTGTTTTGTCACATTTTATAATTACATCTTTATATATTTTTTTCTCACATACTTTCCCTGCATGATGGAAAGAACTGTGCTTGTCTGTCCCTAAACATCACCACCTCCTCCAAACCTAGTGCATGATGGATTGTCAATGAATGAATGAATGAATGAATGAATGAATGAATGAATGAAACAGGTCTATAGTTCTTCTGACTTGGTTCACGTGACACTGGCTTTGTAGAAATGGATGTGAAAAGACAAAGAGACCGTGGTGACTGTATATTATAGAAGATCCGCTCTGCTGGGTTTCCATGTAGTGCTATGGAGCAGACTGGGACAAAAAGGATTCATGAGGAAATGTCATTCTGGGCATCCGAGATGAGCCATGTTGACTGTGTTATTCTTGAGGGATGTGTTATGGCTTGTGTCTAGTTGTCCCCCACAAAACCTCATGTAAGTCATGGGGCAGACTTCTAGAGTTTGTGTTTAACTCATGATCCACTGGAATTATGGGAGTGAGTGCTACATCCAGCCTGGGGCGGATAGCCTGAATGCCACATAAGGGAGACGGACTAGCTCTCTGCGGCCATTGTTGCCTCTACTTCTCCCATTTTGCTTTTGCTCTTGCTCTTTGCCACCGCCATGAAGAGCTGCTCTCTGCCTTGTGCCAATCTGCCTTGGAGCCAGCTGAATATGGACTGAAACCTCCAGTAACTATGAGCTAAATAAATCTTTCTTTCCTTCATTTTGGGTGTTGGGCATTTTGTCCCAGCAAGAAGACAAGAGTAACTGAGACCGGATGGTTTATCGATATAGTGAAGTAAAATGGGAGAGACTTAAAAAGGTGACCTCTGTGTGCCTCTGAATGTTTGCAGGAG